CCTTTATCCCAATCATCACAGAGAAATATCTCATACAAGGCATATTCGTTCCAACCCTATGCTACCAGTGCCAGACATGACCTCTCACAACAAACCTGGAAAGAAAATTAGTAACCATGGAAATGAGATGTCTGAGAAGGGCTGCAGGAGGAATCAGACGAGATAAAATCAGGAATGGTTTTATAAGAGAAAAAAAATATCAGCACAGAACCAATTCTAAAATTACATACAAAGACAACAAATCGAATGGTTTGCCCACTTGGAGAGAACGCATCATGGCGTTCTATTGAACGAGGCATACACCAAAAGATGAGATGGACGAAGATCACAAGGTAGACCCAGAATAATATTGAAAGATAACAAGAGAGAAACTCGGCAACAGCACGAAGCATCCATGGTCGAGGCGGCTAGAAAAGCAAGAAGCAGAACCTTATACCTCCCTCAACACTGAAGCAGGGAAAGAGGAAATGAAGAGAAGGGTAATAAGAAGGATAAACCAAGAAACCTGAAATGTCTGATTTTATTAGTGTCAAGAAGCCAAGATAAACTAATGTCTCATATAAAATGCACGAAGTCGAGAAATCTAGATGTCTTACATAACGAGACTGGCCCTTATCTTGTCTGAGAGCGCGTTTAGCAAAAGAACGCTTTATCAGTACCCATTCCCTTGTCAATTTGTATGGAACTCAACTGAGTACTCCAGGGATATAAAGCTGAACGAACGATACATCAGCCAAACCACAAAACTGTCGTTTAAAGATGTAACGAGCAACTGGACACGCGCATATTCACATAAGTAGACGCCTTGTTTTTGGAATGTTGCCAGTTAGGAATGCTTAACAGTTAACCTTTCAGGTCTGTTTGATCGTGCCTTACAGTTGGACACTGCTAGTTTCATATTTGCTGTCGACCTTCGCTGGTTACCTTTGTGAATGACATTTTTCTCCGTTTTCAAGAAAAAGACACGTAAAAGGCACTTACAAGACAGCAAAAGTAAGCCTTTCAGTTTGGTAATTTCAGATAACAAATCCCCCCCCCCCCCCCAAAGTGGCGCCAAGGCCATCTGCCATACTTTAGGTACACCATTGCTACCTCAGGTCTTTTACAAATTTCCTGGGTGGGGGTGGGGGGAGGGGAGGAGGGGGGGGATGAAGAGGTATAAACTTCCAGGTTCTATTGCCTCTTTTTCTACCTTTCTAATCCTCAATGGAGCATAGGCCCTCAATCAACTCACTCTAAGTCGTTCTATCCTTCGCTTTCCCTATCTCATCCCCATCTTTTCAACTTCATTCTGTAGCTCCCTTCTCTACGCGTTCTTTGTGTGTGTGTGTGTGTCTCTCTCTCTCTCTCTCTGTCTCTCTCTCTCTCTCTTCCTTTATTTCTATACTCCTGTGGGTTCCAGTACAAAGACATTCTAGTTATGTTGTTTTCATGTTTTCTCAACATGTATCCTGTCTATCGGGGTGTACATTGATGCACCACGTTTCCTGAACTGCCCTTGCTGCACTTTTGTGTGTCTGCCCCACATAAACCACGTGGACCTGCCGAATGTGGGAGACACAAAGAGACGACAGTAGTGTCAAAACATTTCAATTATCAGACTTGACAGTCTGTGATAATAGACGATGTTGCTGTTTCTACATATAGTGGAGCAGGCGCTAACAGGGTCGTCGTTCTTTGTGTGAGGGCTGATTTAGTGTTTGTTGGTAGTCCATCTGGTTTGTTGTGTGAAAACACGAGGAGATGTAGACTGTTTGTGGGGAAAGCAGATGGTGAAAGTTGGGTGACGTTGCAAGTAATTACATTGTCAGCAGGTTAGGGGGAGGAAGTAGTGTGTGTGTGTGTGTGTGTGAGAGAGAGAGAGAGAGAGAGAGAGAGAGAGAGAGAGAGAGAGAGAGAGAGAGAGAGAGAGAGCGAACGAACAAACTTTATTTTCAAAGGACCTCAAATTGGACACGCAAGCCCGTCTCACATTCGGCCCTTCCAAACATTAATTTTTCACACAGCAGTTGTATTTTATCTGTTAAAAACTATTTAGGTTTGATGGTTTGAACAACAGATCAACATCATGGCACACGGGTATTAACACTTTGGGTAGATTTTCAACTCCAAATTTAGCGTGGGCAGCGCCGTTAGGCTACTGTTTTCGATTTCCAACTGCCAAAGGATTTTTTGCACAATGCACATGGGCGTCCGATCTCATACCCAGAGACCAGGGGGAATTACTAGAAGTCCCAAGTCCACGTAAAAAAATCCCAGCCCTAATGGGGATTGAACCCGGCACCTCTAGCACTCGAGACCACGCAGCCCTCCTCTGTTAAAACTATTATGTTCATATAACAGTATGCATAATATGGATCTCAGGTAAACTACACAAAGAGATGGTTGGTATATGCATTCACAGTTGAAGTAGTTTCAGATGTTTGTTAGCCGTCGTTCGGTGCGCTTTTAATTTACGACAGTCCCAAATCAGTGGACATTAAGAAAGACTATAAACAGGGAACGATCCTCCTAAATAAAACACTGGAGTGCAACAGAAGTTTGAAACACGGCTTTAATTTAAAATTAAGATAGAGCAAAACGACGAAAGGGGAAGCCATAAACAGTCGCAATAACAATAAAGGCAGTATTGTACACAAATGGGTAGCGATTTTTTAGTGTCTTTTAGCTGTCTTGTGGGAGGCTTTTGTTAAACATCGCATATATGACAACGCAAACGCCCATTCAGTGACCATTGGTAAAGATTGTAAACAGGAAACGATACTCCCGAGTCGCAAAACTGCATTTTGAATCAGGTCCTAGGACGCGGCGATGTTCCCTAACCGGATGGTACAAATGACCTGATCGATTTCTCGGGTATGTAAAGTGCTGATGTTTCCGCCGTGCACGGCAATGTGCCGATTGTTTTAACCAGTCAGCGACAGAGTGAAAAAGCTCATAATGAGTAAGGTTCGATGTCCTATTCAAACTCCAATAGGCTAGGTGTAAGAATGGACTCTTTCGGTCCTAAGCACATATGGCCAGTGGCGAGGTATGATCAGTTTGCGCGTGTAAACGGTAGCAGGTTACCATTATACTGGAGAGGGTATCACGGGATATTTTTCTCCTCGTCGCTTCGTCGTTGAGCGAAAATAATGTGTTTTTCTGAAGGGGTGATGACCCCCCATCTCTTCTTCCTCCTCCAGTCATTGAATATTAAATCTGTGTTGAGTCTTCCTTATATATAAGTGGTTTTTGCTAAGATTTTCATCACAGTTCTTTTAACAGCAATTGTTTAGGGGAATGGGGGAGGGGAACACCATCAAGTCTGCTTTTAAGCTTAAAGCCACACTGCACTGCACTAAGAAATATAACCCCTGTATATCTTCAGAAGTTTGGCTTAACACTGAAGCCTACTTCTCAAGTTTTGCGGTAAGAAAGATTTTGTACTTAGTAGGATTTGGTAATTCAAAGTGAAACCAAATAGGTTTGTTCAAATCCTGATGAGAAAAAGCACATACAAACTCATGTTCTATGCTTCACATTGACACTAGACCAGTTTTCTGGAAATAATAGCTAGCATTAATCCTGTGAATAGTAGAACAAAAAATATTTTTTTTTCAAATACAAAAATATAACAGAAGAAAATTAACAATTAATCCATCAAATACTTGTGTTTTCTATCTCCCCCTTTTCCCTTCTTCTCGTCTTCTTTCTTGTTTTCTCTGTTGACTTCTTCTTCTAGACTAATGTATATAATTCATCTTTTCTTTAAATAATTATCTCTTAGTTTTTTTTTTTTCTAAAAGAGATATTTTAATGAAGTTGATACTGCTTAATTTATAGGTAGTTCACCATTCGTTAAAGCTTTCTACTTACATACTGTAATGTTGCCTCCTTGCCTGCCTTGTCTAGTTTTTTTAAAATAAGGTTAACATCTGTATTTCTTTCCCTCTGTTAATGTATTGCATAAACTTCATTTTTCTTCTTAGTTTTGATAAACATCCCTGTTACGCCTGTAAAATATATAATATTTGTAAGTATCCAGAGGTCTTGAGTTGTTAACCCGTAGGTTCTGTATTATGGATATCGCAAGCCTTGATTCCATGATAGATAACGTAAATCTGGGAGAAATGTGGCTTTTCTGCCTACCCCCAGCATGAACCCCGACCACAAGGGGTTCGTCACCTGGTCGCTGCAAAGTCAGGTTTAGCCAACTACGCTAGCGAGCTGGGCGTACTTATATATATATATATATATATATATATATATATATATATATATATATATATATATATATATATATATATATATATATATATATATATATATATCCTTTCAGTTAACTTATAGAGGAAAATGCAATGGCTGTTTAGAAAGAAAACATGCTATGACTAAAAAAAGTAAACCTGCCTATCGTCACAATGATTGAAAGATGAGATATGGCAAAAATAAAAGGGCAAGCCAGCTGCTACAAAAAGCAATATAACGTTTTAAAAAAAAACAAAAAAAAAGATGTTAAGATCATGTAGAAAAACAACTACTTCTTTTTACTTTTCTTAAAGAGGTGGATAGCACATTTTGGTGTGGTTTACAGCTAGACTGCAATATGTGGTCCTGCACATTGTGATGTGGTTTACAGCTAGGCTAAGATATCTGGACCTTTCAATTCAACATATCCAGTATACAGCGAACCCTTAATCAGTGGCCTTTATGACATGCCTGGGGCAGCGGAACTGTTTTTTGATTACTATATTTTTTTATAAACAGGATTAATGTTGTCTGTAGTTTCTATTCACCTGGTCTGGTGTCATTGTGATCCCCGCAGAGCATGGCGAAAAAACCCAGAGATTATAATGATTTTGATGAGTGTATAAGCTTTTTTTTGCTGTTGCTTCCTGTGTGGGTTTCCAGAGTTCCATTTTGGCGACTCGTGTCTGTATGTTGCCCCAGTTTTTTTAATAATTGTGTGATAATTTACGCTATTACCATTCCTCTATTTTTTCCCCATCTATTTTTAGATTGGAAGCCTAGAAGATCATTACTTGTTTGAGGCCCCACACAGAGAGAGGAGATCAGCATCACCAAGCCATGAACATCATAGTTTGCTGCAAGAGCATGACCAGGTTGTTAATTCTGTGTTGTGTAATAACCCAATCTCTTGTTTATTATATGACTTATTATTTGTTCACCTTCAGATGAGAGCCTGAACAATAGAAGACACTTTTTGTATGTTAGTGGCACATTGAGATATATGTTAATTAAGTAAAAGTAAAGGACCCTTTTCCATGACTTCAGGGTTATTGGGCGTATAGGGCTAGACCTGTATTTTGTAGACTTAACGCTAGATATTCACCATGCCATTCAACATCAGCTAAAGTCAAAGAGCCTGTCTTGCAACACCAAGATCAAAATATATGAAACGTTGATACAACCAGTCGTTTTATATGGCTCTGAAACTTGGAACACAACTAAAAGAGATGAAGCATTATTACAGGTTTTTGAAAAGAGTTTTACGACAAATCTTTGGACACATCAAAGATGCAAACAGCGGGAAATTGTGAGGGAAAAGCAAAAACAAAATTATGTTTGAAAAACCGCTGATCACTGGCATTTTGAGCATTAAAAGACTGAAATGATTGGGGTATTTTGAAAGAACGTCAGATGACAGAGAAGTAAAAACTGTATATGCAAGGGAGATGAATGGCAGACCCATGGCAGACCAAGAAGAAGATGAAGAGGTAATGTCCAGACAGACCATGGTGTCACCAACTGGAAAGAGAAGGCCAACCAGAGAGATGAATGGAGGCGGGTGATATTTGCAGCAATGAACCTCAAGGGCTTGGAATGTTGAAGAAGAAGAAGAAGAAACCCTAGATATTAAGATTGGCAGGCAAGTGTCCAGCTACCATGCTTCAGCAGCTGCCAGTGTGAACCTGGATATATTTTTTTTTAATGCTGCATTCTGCTTGCGTTATTGACACATTATAGAATTTTGCACTCAAATGGAGCAGCTTAACATCCGATTCAATGAAGCAGGCTAAGTATTCGGACTGCTAGCCTCTCTCTTACAGCATAAGGCAATCCCAGTCAACACAAAGAAACATCTCATACAAGCTTATTCATTCCCACCCTATGCTGTCAGTGTCAGACTTGGTCACTCACAGCAAAACATAAACAAAAGTTAGTAACCTTGGAAATGAGGTGTCTAAGAGAGACTATAGGTGTGACCAAAAGAGATATAATCAGAAAAAAGGTCATACAAGATAAAGCCGGCACAGAACCAGTTCTAAATTACATATGAAGATAGCAAATCAAATGGTTTGCTCACTTGGAGAGAGTGCCTTCGGATTCTTTACCATACAAGGCATATTTGAACAAAAAAGGATGTAGAGCAAGAGGCAGACCAAGAACAAGATGGGAAGATAACATTAGAGAAACTCTACCGCACTACAATGTGTCTATGATTGAAGCAGCCAGAAGAGCATGAAACAGGACCTTATATCTCATCAAAACCCAAAGCAGTAAAAGAGGATGTAAAGAATAAGAAGAGAAGAAGAATGGGGCTGGCCACATAACTTTTTTTGTTCTGCTAATGTTCGACAGCATCTTGTCTCAGAAGCTGAAATATTTTGGCCATATCAAGCACCACAGCAAATTAAAAAAAAAAAATTATAGCAGAAAGCATGGTACCAGGAAGGAGGGGCAGAGGCACACCAATATAAAGATGGGCACAGGTTATAGGTGACTCTTGGATATGAAAGTGTACAAAGCAGAAGAGCTGGTGTGAAACCAAGTTTCTTTCAGGCAGCCTTTGATGAGAACGACATTCTGCAAAGGACCTGTTTCATGATGATGATATATTGGAAATATGTGTAGCTTTCATTTTACTTATTTATATAATTTGATTATCTCCTATGTTTAAGCTTCTCGAACAAGAGAAGACAGGACATGGGAAGAAATATCTGTACAATTGTTTGTATCATCAGTTATATGACAGAGAAGATGGCAAAAGATTAGGCACATCGAGAGGGGAAATTGACAATCACCAAACAAGCACTGAAATGAAAACAAATGGTTTTCTGACTCTTACGTTTTGTTGTTGATGAAATGACATCTTTGACAGTGGGTGGTATGTGTACATGATTGATTGATTGACTTTTGACCCCACCAGGACATCACACCAAGCGGTAAACATCCGGTGACAGAAAATGCTACCATTCGGATGAGGATCATCTGGGGACAGGATCTCAGAAACCCTGTTCAACCTGTAGACTGGGTTGTATTAGGGCCCCTGGCAACAGGCGTGGGGCTTTAAACTATCGAAAACACCCCTACATGGGAACATGGTTATAATATCAATATGTTTACATAACAGCTTTGGTACTTGCTGCAGCTGCATAGTTTCTAGATGTGAAGACATGATTATATTTTTTTTTTATTCCTGTGTAAGTTCCGGGGCCTCCGTGTGGATAAAACAAGTAAGCATGTCATAAGAGTCGACTAACTTTTTCGAGACATTGAGTTTTGCATGCACACCCGTTTTACAGGTCTGGCTTCTTTAGGTGCATAATGTCGCTTCCTTGCCTTTCAGGCTCTGTCTTTGAAGGAAACACCCCTAATTGTTGACTATTATCACATATTGGTTGGCGGCTGTGGTTCCCCCCCCCCCCCCCCCAACATTAGAACCCTAGAACCCACATGGTGAGGTTAATTAAAAGTTTAAAGTCCTTTGATTTCATGGGGGGGGGGGGGGGGTGAGTGGGTGGGAGTGGGGGGATCTCTCTCTCTCTGTCTCTCTCTCTTACTCTCTCTCACTCTCTTTCTCTCTCTCTCTCTCTCTCTCTCTCTCTCTCTCTCTCTCTCTCTCTCTCTCTCTCTCTCTCTCTCTCTCTCTTTATTTCTTTCTTTCTTTTTCTCAGCGGCAAAAGTGAAATCCCAACCTGCATAGTCCATAGTTACATTTCGCTCTAATTCATCAGGCTCAAAGAAACCCCTCACTTACTCTGCAGAAATGATAAATACAGCCAGTAAATGGCATATTTTGTCAGCAGACTGATTGATTACCAGTTGCTTTATAAACAAAATGAGGCTGGTACTGTAGACCCAGTATGACTGAAAAAAGTGTGTCCTGCTCCTGCTTCTTCTTCTTCTTCTTCTTCTTCTTCTTCTTCTTCTTCTTCTTTTTCTTCTTCTTCTTCTTCTTTATATACAACTGGCAGTAAAATCTGGTGGATAGTCCTGGTTCTTTAACAGATTCTTGTTCCTTGACTAGAATATTGTGTGCACATCAGTTTTACAGATATGGCTTATTTTTTTACAGATTGTCAGTTCCTAGTCTGTCTCTGACTTTGAACGAAACATTGATCCTATCCACATTGACCAGGCTCCCGTTTTTTAACTTGTTTAACCGTGGGGTACACATAGGTCTTGACCAGTGAAGGCCCCAGTACTGGTGTTGTGGTACATCACATCTGCATCCCCAAAAGTGCCTTTGATTTTTTTTTTTTACTTAGTGTAAAGTTTGCACATTAATTTATTCTGGCTTCTGTCCCATTTTCACGCTACATTTGTCTGGTTTTTGATGTATTCTGTTTGTATCTACCATTAAACAGATCCTGCTTTTAGATTGCCTGACTCGCAGCAGCCCAACCGTGGGATTGCCCGACTTGCAGCAGCCCAACCGTGCATGTCCCTGCCAACTCGTTATAGAACAATGACAGCGTGCATATCAATAAATATTATTCATTGTTCACATTTCAGGTCCACTGGTTTGAACAGCAGGTGGCCAAGTCTCGAACCAAACGTGACTTTCATCCCAGAGATGTCGCTGATCAGATGAGTGTCCTCGACCCTTACTGGAAAAATCAGTGGTATTTGGTGAGCACTGTTTAGGCAACAGATTTTTTCTGTGCTTTGCATCTGGTAGTCTGGTGGTCTTAGTTTCAGCTTCATAGCAAACGGGTCGCCCCATCTTTGCTCCGCTCCTGTGCCAACGAAAAACACCCAGAATGTTTATCACAGTCCCTTGTAGAAAGATAGACAGACTGCTGTCTCAGCATATCTAGCATACACTCGCATTAAAACATACGGTAGCCATCCGAAGTGCTAACACAAACAGTCCAACATTAGAAATGCAGTTCATCATTGATGATAGCAGAACTTGTCACCAACAGTTCAGCAGTTGTCCACGCGATCAATTTTAACCACATACGGGCACCGCCAACATTGCACGGCATCTCGCCATTTTCTGAATCTACAATTCACACCACCACGTTGGTCACAGTCGAAAATACATTCCAAATGCAATCCGCAGCTCACAGGGTTACGCCATGCATTCAACTCAGAAGCTGGGCGACGAAACTATATCCAGTCTACAAATGGAGCAAAAATACTTCGGCCACCGTCCGGCAGAAGCAAAAAAATTTGCCTCTGCTTCGAACAGCGCCGCTGTCTAACGTCCATTTTAACCGGAAGTGCTTTGCATTCAATAGTCCGGTCATTTACAGGGCATTTCCTGTTAAATGTTGAATCTTTTCCTTCTGCATTCATCCTTAAAAGGGGTTGGGTTTTTGTGTTGTGATTTACAGCTAGGTGACAAGTGTCTGGTCACCATTTATGACATGCTTGTTGGAGGGGAGGGGGGGGGGGTGGTCAGTGGTTCTGTTTTCCTTTTCCCCAGCAAAAGGGAGCCCCAGAACTTGGGGTGGGTGGGTGGGTGGGGGGGGGTGTAGACAGTATTAAATAGATATAACAAAGTATTTCAAGGTTTCATGATTTCTTCAACATGTACTTTTTATCTTAACTGCAAGTAGTCAGACTATGGAGGTCATCTCACTAACTGTATTAGTAACCTGGGTGGAGATACAGAACTTCAACGGGGCATGCTTTCTTAGTGACTCCGTGAGTTTACTCAGGGATAGAAATGGGCTAGGTCTGAAGACAGTGTTGGAGTCTTTGAGGCAGTCAGAGCCGATGAAAATTAAGTTTTATTTTTGTGCTAGAGTATGCAGAGTATCTCATTTCCCCAAGGGACAAGGGTTGTTTGCTGGTAAGTCTGCTATGGGGGGCAGACCAGCAGTGGAGCAGGCTGATATACTGAATGCTGTACAAGAAATAAGATTTTTGCGAGGACCAAGTGATGACTGCCAATCTGCAACCGTGATCAGACTGCAAGAACAGCAAGTGAAGAGGGTTGAGGCTACACATGAGCAGTATGTAGGACTTTGTGAAAAAAAATAACACAGAACTGGTGTCGTCAGCGACTACACATTGTGGGATTTACTGAGGCAGGGATCTGAGCACTTATGGTCTGAACCATTTTACGTGTAGTAAAGAGGATATATTAACTAACTAACTAGTTGTTTCCTTGTCATCAAACTGCCTCATTGCCCAGAAAGTATTTCAAGCAATTTAGTTGAGAAAGCCTGACCTAGAATGTAATGCTAGCAGCACTCACTTGTTTGATCTGGCCTTATGTAAGCTTTACTTGTCTCATAGAATGGTGGTGCCATTGGAGGTAACGACATGAATGTTCTAGAAGCTTGGCGTAAAGGCTACACCGGAAAAAATATTGTTGTCACTATCTTGGATGATGGTTTGGAGCGTGATCACCCAGACCTGATCAGAAACTATGTATGTATTTTTTTTTTAAATTTGCGATGCCTTTCTATCTAGGATAATGTCTAAATATGTGAACTAAAAATGTTTGGCCTTCTGGTTTGAAACTGAGTAATAGTAGGTGTTTAGACGACAAACAGTTTTCTTGACTTTTAGACAGTGGTAAGAGAGTTGCACCATGAGAGAAAATGGGGCCTTACCATGTAATGTTCCCATAGTAAGCAGTGGGTACATTGCAGTCAACCTCTGTTGTGGAGATAATACCATTTAAAAAAAAAAAAAAAAGCAGATCTTCTTTCTTTGGCCCTCAACTGATTTCTGCACACCTGTCCTCGTCTAATACCCCTTTTCAACAGGCGGTTCATCATTTCTGACTCCTTTTCTCACCACCTTTGGACCTCAACCTGTTTATTATGGCTACCCTGTACATGCTTCTACCTCCACAAACCAATGCAGACAGTGATAGCCTGTCTGCCCTTTCATTTCCTTTCTGTCAGATTTGCATTATACCAACTGAAGTAGAGACTAAGTCTCCATTCCATTATGATATTTGTTTATGATTTTTTAGGTCTTTATATGTTGTTTCATCGGTTCTCATGTCTGAAGCAATGTTTTTACATTGTAAATTAGAATAAAGAAGACACAAACACCAGATTGAATAGTTTAATACCTGGCATATTTGGCTGTGAAAAAGACATAGTCATAAATGTGTTCTTATCCTGGTAATACAGGCCTTTACATTTGAACATTGTAGATTTTGTATTTCAGTAGAAGGATTATTTTATGATTAATTTATTTGTTTTGTTTGGTTAAATTGTTATTGTATTAAGTGCCAACAACAGATATGACAATTTATTCCCTGTCATACGTAGCAAAATATGACAGAATAAATTGTCATATCTGATGTTGGCACTTTTTTGTTTGTTTTTTGTTTTTTTTGTAATTCAAAGTTTCTTATCAGTATTCAAAAAGAAATCAATATTTCATCATCTATTATCCATAGTCTGTCTGATGGTACTGTAAATATTCTTCATACTTGCTGTTTTATCGGTTATTTTGTCTTGCACTGTTTATTCAGGACCCATATGCCAGCTATGATGTCAACAACCATGATAATGATCCCATGCCACGATATGATCCCTCAAATGAAAACAGGTCAGTGCTTTAGCTGGTGGGCCCATTGTTTATTTCTTTATTTTTTTCCTCTTGTCTTTTTGTTGAGCATTAGTAACATTCTATGAAAATACAGCATTTCAACACTGCTAACCAAATTTGAAGATCGTCATACACCTTGGTGACCAGATTAAACTTTCTTTGAACTTGTGACATGTAGAATGCAAACTGACAGCCTTACAGATAGTAACCAAATTAGACCTAATCTCTGTATGGTTATTATTCCAAGATGGCTGTGCCTGTGATTGGTAACACTTAGAGCCGCTGCAAGCATGATTTTTGATGAAATTTTGCTGACTTTACTAGCGAATGTGGCACTGAAAGCGATAATTCCTGGCTAAGTAGAGATGATGATGGAGGTGATGCTGGTACGTCTGAAGAAAGAAGTGGCTCTGGCAAAGAAGACCAGAACATTTCTACAGTTGAAAATGCTGTTTGGAAAAGGAGAAAGGCTTGATAAATTTGATTTTAGAAAGAATAACAAGGTTTTTATGTCAGACACAGTTGGGTTTACGTCAGTTGATTTTTTTTTAAACAAAGCTCAAACTGAAAAAGGCAGATCATCCTGTGTTTTGTGTGACAGAAGATAAAGGTGTGTTCGCCGTTACTTGCCATGACACTAAGAGAGTTAACCTTATATCTACTGTTCACTCCAGTGATGATATAAACAAGGCAGTTAGGAAAAGGGGAATTCCTGAGGGCAAAATAATGAACAAGCCAGTTCTTGCAGAAAAACCCACAAGATTATGAGGAGAAGGGAGGTTTTTATCACTTCGGTCAACTGGGTTCAAGTTACCCCTACCTAAAAATGATACCTGCCATCATATCATTTTTTAGTTAAAAATGCCTTGTTCAATGGGCATTTGAGCTATAACACTGCCAACTCTATGAATAAGATCACAGCAAAGTCTTGCTTTTATCGGACTTGCTGTTCTTCAGCACCTCTGAGACCACAAGTCACATCACAACTTACTGAGTGCCAAAATTATGAAAAACCAAGGTACAAACCAGGCTGTAAAGTGTTCAAGGCAGCAGGTAAAAAAAGCCAGACTAGCACGTACTGCCCAGATTGCAGTACACCTTTTTGTTTGACACACTGTTTCAAGCTCTATACTACACAGTTGAGGATTATCAACCTTTCTGACAGACTGTTGTGATGGCTACCACTTCAACTCCAGTTTATGAAGGAAGTAGCTCAGAATTCAACTAGGGGGCACTTTTATAATCAAGCATTCATAAAAATTTATTTTAACATGTCACATAAAAGTTAGTTGCGTATCCTTTACAGGACGTTGCAGAACCAACCCTAACAGCCCCTGGCTGTTGTGTGGTTTCTCTAGGCAATTTACGTCCAGTAGTTTGCCATTGCTTTCTGGACGGTCGGCTTTCTTGATCCCACTGTCGAAACCAACGCAAGGCGCATTGCCCGCAGCTGGGATCGAACCTGGTATCCCGGCATTACGAAGCGAAGCGTTCGCATCGACTTAGCCACAGAGCTGACAACATGTCACATAAATCCAGTAAACTCAAGAAATAATTAAAAAAAAATATTAGCTTTTAAATATTTGTTCACTCATTAAATAAGTACACCTGTTAAGCTTATTTTATTTATTGCCAACCAGGTCCCCAACATTTGTATGCATGGACATTGAAACAAGTTCACTAAAAACTGAAAGAAGATGAGGGTTTTAAAATATCTCCTGAAATTTCTGTTAATAGCCCTATAAATTCAAGATGGCCACCATGATCATGGGACATATTTGAATAACATATCTTTTTTCATGTTAGCAACCATTCATAATAGAGCTCTGAAGGTGTTAAAACCCTCGCTCCTTTTTAAATTTGTAATAAATTTATTTAGAAATCCAGTTGTTTTAAAATGTATCTGCAAATATCCTTGGTAATGGGAGAGAATAGTGCACCGGTCTGCTGGTCAGCAAAGTGTTCAATGCGTTAGTTTTTTTATTAGCTTTCTTTTTTATCCTGCTCATGTTTCTCCAGTATGTCGAAATATTTGTATGTATGCTGTTTTCTGTACATCTTGATTCTCAGGTTTGATTAGCTCATCTGTGTTGTGTTTCCTTTTGGAGAACGTGGAAAAGCTCAGGTTGCCTGTATGCCTCTTTCATTTTGTCTCTTCCATTCCTCCATATCTCTGTGTGGGTGAGAGTTCATGAGAGAGGGAGAGAGAGAGAGAGAGAGAGAGAGAGCACAATAGTAGAATTTTTTAATTTTTTTACAACTTTCCTATCACAATTGTTTAATGCTGTAACATGGAGCACAATCTTGTTTTACTTGTTAATTTTAATCATTTTGCCTGAAGTGCTTAAAAAAAAAAAAGAAACCTGCGGGAATTCCAGAAACAAATCCTTAAAAAACAAACATTTGACACAAGTCAGATTAGTTTTTAAAAATGTATTTATTTATTTTCTAGTCATATATTAAGGGAGTAATCAATAAGCATGAATGGAGCAAAGCATTTATTTGTATACATTTTTTCAAATATGTGTCATTTGCTTTCAGACATGGAACAAGATGTGCAGGAGAAGTTTCAGCAGAAGCAAACAATACACAGTGTACTATCGGTATAGCTCCGGACTCAAGAATAGGAGGTTTGCTTCTTGACATTGATGTTAATTTAGTTCTCTTTGACAGTTAAGAGTAACATAGGACCATTTGGAACAGGGAATTTGTGGCAATAGATAGTAACACATAGGCAGCGGATGTACTTCTTTCTCTTATGCCCTTTATTCCCCCAGAGGATACTTTCTAATTTCCTTTAGCTTGTTTTGTCTCTTTGATTTGCCACTATCCTTTGGACCCTGTGAGTTCCAGTGTAAAGACATTCTTATTATATTGTTTTCAGGTTTTCTCAACATGTGTCCTATCCAGTGCCAGAATCTTTTTTTTTTCCTCGTCTTTGATTTGCTGGAATTTGTTTAGTTCACTTCCAGAGCTCTACATTAGAATTCTTTCCTATTATTTAATTTCCTCTATTCTGTGCAGGCAGCAGTTAATTAATGTTTATAGTTTATTAGTAATTGTTTTAGTTGTTCTCCATGTTTCAGCTCCTTAGGCTGTACTGTACCACTTTCATCTTTCAGCAGATGTGCTTCATCAATTTTAATGCTTCCACAGTTTGAAGTATTACCAACTCTTTTGCTTCTGTTAATGCAGGCATACGCATGTTGGACGGAGAAGTGTATGATGCAGTGGAGGCAGCATCTCTGAGTTTTAATCGCAGCCATGTGGACATTTACTCTGCAAGCTGGGGTCCTGATGACGATGGGAAGGTTGTAGACGGGCCTGGCAAACTGGCAAAAAAGGCCTTCATCAATGGAATTGAAAGTGTAAGGCCATGTACTATCTTTAATTCTTTATAACCTTTCTTTGCCTGTGTATTCTAACAGGTGTCATATTGTGTCATTAAAAAGGAATTTGTTGTTATATTGAATGACCTCATTGTGTAGTATTTTGTCATTTGTAATGCATAGTTTTGTGTTGGTCTGAAAGCTTTACCCTCCACCTTATTCTCCTCTTTCCTCCTGTGGTGACAAGTATAGCATATATAATCCAAGCTGCCATTAAATACATCAGTTATTTATTGCCTTGCATGTTTCACACTAATATGTAAAATGTCTACCTCAGAATTGTAATCTACATAAAGGAAGGTACTTCTTAGAAATCCACCAGTAGTAAACTCAGGTGGAAAGTTCTGGTTGTTTGTCCACTTCTGGACTTTAGTGGTTCTGCTCCATCCAGATCTTGGGTTTTGCATGCACATCCACATCTGACCCTTTCAGCACAACACATTGATCTCAACAAAACCCTAATTAGTCACATTTTTAAAGACCTGCTTGTTAAGAGGCAGTGGGTCCACCCTCCCCACTCCCAGTTAGGGCCCCAGAACCCACAGAGGGAATAATACGTTAAGGATTAAACTTGACAATTGAAGAGGAGATGGGCTGACGTTTTAATCAGAATTACCACTAGCACCTTCATAATGGGAACTCTTCGTGGCTACAGAAAAGGGGATACAACCTATTTTGAATGCTTGGAGTGCAGTGGTATACATTGTTTACTCATTCAGACCATGCTATTCTTATTCTCTGGGCTGCTACCTACAAGTTTAACCCCCCTGAGTTTACAGAATCCTAATTTGGACGGCAAGCCAACAAGGCAAATCTCACATGCCCAGTTGAAACTCTAAAGAAGTTATAGTTAGGGCACCTGTGACAGTTATATCAGCCTAATGGAACCTGCGGTCCAGTGTAGGTAGTCGATCGATTGGTTTATCCCCTACAGGATGCCTTCTAGAGGTTCACCCTACCATTCTGAGATTTAATAATCACTGGATGGCAGACCAACAAGGCATATCCTAGATGCCCTTTTTAGTCTCCAAAGAAGTTATAATTTGGGCATAAGATACGTGTAACACCTTCCTCTTCTCAGATAGGTGTAGCACTTGGACCAGTCAGGTGTCACTTTGGGTAATGACCCTGTGTAGGTAAGGATAAGTATGACCTGTTGTATTACCCATTCAATTACTGTTTTTTTTATTTTATAGGGCAGAGGAGGTAAAGGCTCCATTTTCGTGTGGGCATCGGGGAATGGCGGCAGTGCCCAGGATTCTTGTAACTGTGATGGATATGCTAATAGCATCTACACCTTGTCAATAAGCAGTACATCAGAAAATGGAGTCAAACCTTGGTACTTGGAGGAATGCTCCTCCACACTGGCCACCACATACAGTAGTGGTGCTTACAATGAGAGGCAGATTGTAAGTATTTTTATTTGAGATGCAGTCTTAATTTTGTTATTACTGAATAGCACACGGTTCAACAGTTTTCCTTCAGGATGAGGTGGCTAGTCTCACAATAAGATTTCTTAATTCTCCCTTACAACACGCAAAGTAGGTTCCAGTACTATATTTCTGTGCACTTGTAATACTCAGACACCTTTCCTGTTAGTTTAGCACAGTGGTTTTTGACCTTATTCATGTGGCTGTCCTATTGAATATGTGGCTAGACCACCATCCTCCTCCTCCCCCTCCTCTTTCTTCCAACTTGATTAAACAAATTTTTTTTTTTTTTAAAAGAGGAGGTAGATTTTCAGCCTGCTCATGAAAACAAAATCTTCCTTGGCTTTTTGTTTCACAAAACATTTTTAAAAATATTTTATTACAGTTTAGCTGGAAAAAAAAAGATGTTAGTATAACACATGATAACTGGTGCAGATGCACTCAGTAATAAACTACAGACATTCGTTAACTGGTGCCTGCAAAGAAAAAAGGGAATTACATGGTATGATAAAATCACTCATGTTGAATTTTGGGAAAAAACTAAACAAGTTCTGGTGGACCAAGAGATAAAGAAAAGTCGCTGATATCGGATAGAACACCTGCTGAGAAAAACCTGAGAACAAACAAGCAAACTTTATTTTCAAAAGGTCATAAATTGAGCACACAGGCCCGTCTTACATTCAGCCCTTCTAAACAGCCATCTTTTACACAGCAATTGTATTTTATCAATGAAGCATGTTATTTTCATATAAAAATATTATGAATATCAAGAAAAAACACAAAAGCATGGGTAGTTAAAATTCCCACACATACCCACATACATACATAGATACATACATACACATGCATATACATACACACGCATATACATACACACGCATACATACATACATACACACACACACACACACACACACACACACACACGCACGCAAGCGCGCGCACACATGCACACGCATACATACATATACAGACAAATGTACACACACATGTACACATGCATGCATGTTTACACAGATAATACACACATACAAATGCATTTAATCTGTCTGTTATTTTCTCTCTCTCTCTCTTTCTCTCACTCCCTCTTTCTCTCACTTCCTCTTTCTCTCACTCCCTCTTTCTCTCCCTTCTCACTCACTTCATCTCTCTTACTACTTCCCTTTCTCTCACCCCTTCCCTGTAGTGGTATGAAATAGAAGATTAAAGTATGGGGATGGCTGGTTGTTAGAATTAGGAAAACACCTAGGTTGCAAGACATGAAGTCAGCATGAGAGAGTTTAAGCTCCTGAATGTGTGAGTGGAATTGGAAATGCGGGATAACTGGGGAAGTAGACGAATAGAGATTCATTCTGCTACAGGGCCCAAGAGCTGGTAGGTGCATAAGTTGATAGTCTGTACTGAATTTGATCGTGTTTACTGAAAGTTGATCGTCTGTACTGAAAGTTGATGGTCAGTACTGAAAGTTGATCGTATGTACTGAATTCTGATTGTCTGCTTGGATAGCTGATCATCTATGTAGAAGTCTAAATTGAATGAAGACTGGGAGAACGGCAATGCTGATGTGTTCCTGCTGAGTACAGTTTGTGGTAATGTACATGTCAACGATGCATGTTGAAGGTTTGGCTGTGTTATCCGAAGTGCCGATAAGTGGAAGCTGGATGTGTGAAGTAAGTGTCATGTTTCTCTCTCTCTCTCTCTCTCTTAGTATAAACATATTTTTTATTGTAGGCATCAACAGATCTCCATCACAGATGTACCACAACCCACACAGGAACATCAGCTTCGGCACCTCTAGCGGCTGGCATGGTTGCTCTGATACTAGAAGCCAAGTATGCACATTTCATCTTTTGTCTGTTGTATTTATTTATGGCAATTTATTCCCATTCCTATCAAATCTTCAGCATTTCTTGAGAATAATATGACATGAGAGTTTACACAAATTTCATTTTGTAAGTTCCAGAACAGTAAAAGCTAGTGGATATTAACTACCTTTTAGAACCTGAAGATGCTGCCATTACAAGATGATCCTAGTTACATCAGTGATGTCAATAGAGGGGATTGTGTAGCTAAGAGGTGGCAGTCTTTGCCTAGTTCGAACACATGCAGTCGATATAGTTTTTTTAATGCTTCGGATTTCTGAAATAAGGAATGGCATACTCTCCCTTGATCCTGGTGTAGCTGGTAAAATGTTTAGCTTTCTTTGACAAGGGTGAAAAGCCTAAAGGTCTAGTTAAGTTGTGTATCCTTTACAGGATGTTGCAGAACCAGCCTCATCATTTTTTGGCTGTTTGTGATTTTACTAGGCAATTTTACTATCAGTAGTTTGCCATTACTTTTTGAATGGTCAGCTATTGATACCACTGTTGAAACCAATGTAAGGTGGTCTACTGCCAAATCGCCTGCAGCTGGGATAAAAAGTCTAGTATGTATGTTAAATTCCCTCAATGGTTAAAAGAAAAAATATAGAGCAGACTAGAAACCAGTGGCAAACACTAACCCTTTTGAGTGTATTAGTAGAATAGCCTGGAAGTTAACCCTGTCAACAAATGCTCGGTGAAGTCTCGGATGTATCGGCCAAAAGGTGCAAACATCACAGCTTTGCTGTAAACAGTCACAATGCAATTTTATCATTCAGACAAATGAAAAGAATGAAAAAATTGTAGAATAGCATAAGAACTAATGTAATTTCTTTTATTACTCACAAACTGTTTGTATTTCTTTAAATCTTTTTTTTTTTTTTTTAATTACCTATCTTTGTTACTATAAAGGCATGATTGCACATTAGAACGGAATCTTACCAAAGATAATTAGATTGTCATTTAGGTGTTTATTGTCAGTATCTTTGTCTTTTCTCTGACTGTAAATCCTGGATCTTTCAAAATAATTTCACAAAGGAAACCAACAAAAACAAAAAAATCATAAAAATAATGGAATAGAAAAGGAAAAAAGATATAAAACCAAACAGTATTTTATGATCTTTATGCGTTGTGTTTTTTAACAATAATTATATAATTCCTCCATTACAGCAATGACTTAACCTGGCGGGATGTTCAATACATTACTCTGATGACCTCTAGGCCTGACCCAATCAAAGATGGACAGTGGATTACAAATGGCGTGGGGAGGAAAGGTACGCTGTTTTCTAGAAAATTATCTGTTTGCAGAGCCAGTTCATTTCAGATTTTAGTATGTCATCAAGGTCTGCTGATTAAATACTTGATCATATACCTGTTCATTGTCCCCGTGCATCTTTATTGTGACATTGTCTTAGCTTGTATCTCTTCTTCCAGGAACTATGCCTCCCATTGGTCATCAAGCAGCAGGTTCCCATCAGAATGTTGCTTTCGTCACGACACGCCTGAGTCTCTCTTCTCCAGCCAGTTCTCCAGCCCTATGTGCTTTCACGGCCAGTGTATCCTCAGTGTCCTGTATCCAGGTTCGTGGAGGTCCGCCTTTGCCGCGTTTTCCAAAAACTACTTTCCATCACTGTTCTCTCCAGGTCACCGTGACGTTCAACATGGCCAACATGTCTCCCATTACTTTTCTTTATTAACCACTGCCTTTTTCTTAGCGTTCACTGGCTGTACACTCATGTGGGAAGTTTTGGTTGTTCATCCACTTCTGGATTTTGATCTTGTTCTAGAACTTGAGTTTTAAGTGTACATCCATTTTTACATATCTGGCTTATTTGTTATTTCATGTTGATGCTCAGTTCTGGTTAAATGTCAGTATTTTTCATCTTATAAGAATTTTTGTGACATTTAAGTTCACATTTTCTTCTTCACTTATCGCAAAGTAACTTTTGTCTATTTTTTTTTCTCTTGCATTTATTTGTGCTTGAATAAGATTGCTGTAAACCTATTTTTTTCTTTTCAAGGGTAACATAGACAAGAAATTCACAATAAAGCTGGTTGTGTTATTACAGCTTTGCTATAAGCAGGCACAATGCAATTATGTCACTGTGGGGAAGAAGAAGAAGAGGAATGCCGTTAAACACAGTGAAAGAATAGTTTGGGAACTATGCACACAATGACACAAGAACATGTCCTGCTAACAGAAATGTTTGCATTCAGAGTTTAAAACCCCTATATGGGTTTCAGGGTCCTATTTTGGGGAAGAGAAAAAAGAATAGACCGACTGACACACACACCCCCCCCCCCCCCCCCCCTCTTTTTCAACAAGCACCTCATAAAAGTCGTCTAATTAAGTGTGAAGAACCAACAATCAGCATACAAATAAGTCAGATCTGTAAAACGGATGTCACACAGAACTGGAGGAAAAACCAGAGCTTTTCTGCCTGACTGTACAGCTGGTGAACGCGAAGAAGAAGATGATGAAGAAGAATATATAAAGCATGTTCAGACACTACAGAAAATTTATATGGAGAAGTACATTTGGGAATGTCATCCTGTTGAGTTGAGATGGAAACTGTGCACATATTAGAATAATATTTTATTTATTTTTTGTTTGTTTGTACTGAGCAGACATTGTTGGGTAGAAGAAAATGACATGAAAGCCTAGGGCAGCGCTATTTAACTGGCGGCCCGTGGAGGGCTAGCAAGTGGGCCGCGGATCATTGCCAGTTGTATTGTCCTAATGATCTTTCTATGCTAGGGCTCAGGCCTCTGGCCTCGGATGATCCCCATTTTAAAGATCGTGGACTCGAAGTAAACTTAGTTGAATAGCCCTGGCCTAGAGTATAGTGGTTAGAAAATTAACACTGGATTAAGAAATAAGCCGCTTATGAAGCCTATTTGTGCCTTTAGAATACTTAAAAATTTAGATTTTACCAAATTACTTGACATAGATTTTTTTTTAAACTTCTTATTCAATGTTGAATATTTTACCAAATCTACCTTACATTATTTTATCATTTTTATCTTCATATTCAGTGTCAGACATTTTACCTACTTCTTTACAGTGTTGAACATTTATACAAGCTTAACTCATGACATGTTTTCACTTTAATAATCACATTCAGTGTCAAAACATTATACCAGTCTTGTTCATTGTTGAACACTTTATAAACTTAACTGATATAATTTTGTCCTCTTTATCTTTATATTCAGTGTTGAACATTTTACCACCCTAACTAAAATACTTTTGTTATTTTTGTCTTCATTTTCAGTGAGTTTGCGTTACGGTTATGGTCTGATGGATGCAACTGCAATGGTTGACCTGGCACTGCTTTGGAGTAATGTTCCAATCAAACATGAATGCCTAGTACAGACAAATATTAACCATGAGTAAGTTTGTGGCTTGCTTTTGTGATGTGCTACACTTGATTTTTTGCAAATAGTTACATTTACTACTTTTTAGGGCTGTGTAGACATGGAAGTCACGAGCCTGAGGATTTATTCCACATGGCTAGTGCTGACGCCAGGGACTGTGCAGGTTAGGATGCATGAGAGCACCACATTGTAACCACTCTTTCAGTCAAATGTGATATAAATGGAAACACATCAGTTAATTGAAGTTTTTTAGCCGTATCAATGACAGGGCAGTTAGAGTCAGACTGAGGCCCTAGAGGTGTGGATATACACAAGTAATGGTTGTGTATCATGGAAAAAGCAGCAGTCAAATACTGTGCCTGCAGACACTCCCTGCTACATCATTCTCTCCAGATACAGGTTTTCAGTATTTTTCATTTCACTTGTGACCTTCTCTCACAGGCAGCAGATCAACTCTGCCTTGTGCAGTTGCTGTACACCCCCAGGTACACCACCCTAAAATGGAGTAAACACAGACAGTAGTGACAGAACCAGGGCAGTCTGGAGTAAGAGGTAATGAACGAGCAGATTGGCTAGCTATAGATATATAAGCTATAGATTGGGCCTATGTTCTCTATGCTCTCAAGGAGATAGGACGGGTAAATGATTCAGGAGATGATGCTGAGTCAACAGCATTCAAAAGACTACAAGAACTTCATGTAAAAAAGAGGTATTGCCAGACGTGAACACTATACTGGTAACCAACAGAACTGGTGTTATTAGGCGCCACACGCTGAGGGACATACTAAAATTGGGATCCGAGCACTTAAGGACTTTGATGTTCACTGAGGATAATCTGTTGATTAACTGACCTACTCAGTAGTCACAAAATCATCATCATCAGTTTTCATTATGCCTAGTGGCACATGAGGCTTCAGAGAGGACTTTCCAAGCTTTCCTGTCCTGTGCAGTGTTAAATGCAGTTTTCCATGTCAAAGATGCCGCATTCAGGTCACTTTCCATCGTTCGTCTCCATGTTGTTTTTGGGAGCCCCTGTTTTCTCTTTCCCTCTGGTGTCCATGTGAGAGCTGTTTTGGCGGGTGTTTCAGGATTCATTCTCATAACGTGGCCAAGCCATTTCCATCTTCTCTTGGTTATCATACTGTCTAAAGTTTCTTGGTTTGTGACTTGAAGTAGTTTAGTGTTTGAGATTGTATCTGGCCATAAAATTTTGGTAATTCAATGTAGACATGTGTGGTGGAAGGTGGACAGTCTGTGTGCATCCTTTTTTGGTCATTCTCCAGCATTCCGCTCCATAAAGAAGAACTGGCAAAATGATGCTCTTGTAGAGTCGGAGTTTTGTCACAGAATAATTTATCTTATTTTTAAATTCTCTCATAACAGCATTTTGTAACAATTTCTGGGATTCGTTGAAATTAACAGGGGTCTAGAAGGTGGAGCGAAATTCACCGCCCATGTGGAAACAGTTGGCTGTCAGGGTCAGGCTACAGAAGTTAACTATCTTGAGCATGTTCAGGCAGCAATCAGTCTGTCCTACCAGAGACGGGGTGATATAGTCATCTATCTGACCTCACCCATGGGAACCAAGTCCAAGCTGCTGCCTCGTCGTCCCAGTGATTCCAGCCCTGGAGGCTTTGACGAATGGCCTTTTATGTCAGTTCACTTCTGGGGAGAAAATCCCAGGGGAGTGTGGACTTTAGAAATTGAGGATGCTGACGCTTTGAACTCAGGATCTGGAAGTGGTAAGCATTAAATAATTCGTTAGAATCAGGTTATAGACGCTAGACTGTGAGAAGTTGTGTTTAGTTATGTGGCATCATGAGACATGGGTTTTCCGGTATATATGATCCAGATATTTTGAGATTCCTTTTTGTCTCTTACTATGGACCTTACCCTCAGGTATTTTAACTAGAAGACATAAATGTGTCCCATATTGTGACCAAGTCAAGGTAACATCCTTAATTGATTTTTTTGGGGTGTATTTTGTATGTTGTTTGGTAATGATATTTTTGGTCTTTTGAATGTTGTTTGGTAATTGTCTGGTTTCTAGCATGTCTTTAAGAATTTTTTAAAATTTGATTTGTTTTTCTGTCCAGCATATTCTTTTTACCTTACGATAACAGCTTTTTATTTTACTTTTTATTTTAAAGTCCAACTTTTAGAGCTGTATAATGCTATGGATTTGATACACTCTGTGATTTATTCATTTCCTTATTCCAGAATTGATATTAGGAATGTTTATTTCTCTCTGAGAGCTTCTTTGGCTACTGCAAACCTTGATCTTAAATCGTTTTCACACTGAAATCTTCTGTAACAACTTGACCCAGACAGAAACCACTCTGCTTGTTCAGGTTTTTCTCTCATAATATTCATTTTCTTTTCTTCGCCCTTAGAAAGACAGTTCGCAGGTTGTGTTGTAGTTTATAACTAGGCTGTGATATCTTCACCTTTATCCAACAGATCATATTTCAGCAAGTGCTTAATTTGTTGTCTTTTATGTCATGCTTGTTTAAGGGCAGGGAGTCTATCCCCCCCACCCCCCACCCCACCCCCCCCCCCCCCCCCTAATTGAGGCTCTAGAACTCACATGAGATGTTAATGTTATTGCTCTGGATTCATTTGACGTTACTTTAAGCCAAATTAGCTTTGTCTTTGATTTGTTTATGAAGTGATAATGATATTTCTAATTCCTCTTTAATCTGTTAGACATTTTCAGGCTTGATGTCACACATTTGCTCACTGTTCATTTTAATTATTTATATGGCAGATTTATTTAAAAAAAAAAAAAAAACTGTTAAAAATAATGTAAGAGATCCTGGCAGAGGTTACAATGTTTTACTTTTGTTCATGTTTTCAGTAAAATGGGATTTTTTTTTCTTTCTGTCAGGGTAAGAATCTATTCCTAACCTGCATAGTTCATCGTGACCTCAACGGCCGTGCGGCCATAAATCCTGGGGCTAAAACAAATTCCTGTCTAACATCACTTTAAAATATGGTTTAAGGACATTTGAAAAAAAATTGCCAGTTTGAAAAATAGTGCCCTAAATCCTCCGGCTAAGATGACACAATCCCCCTTGTAAAATAAAACTGGATGTTTTTTTCATAGGATAAATTCCCAGTGTTGGTTCCGGGGCCCCAATGTGGGGAAAACAAGAATAGACCCCTGCCTGCCCCCAAAAATGTCATAAGAGTCTACTCGTTGGGAGCTTCTTTCGAAGTGGGAAGAGGCAAGGACCCAATGGTCTGCATGCAAATAACCCAGACCTGTGAAATGGATGTGCACGCAACACTCAGTTTCTGGAACAGGACTGGAGTTCAGAAGTGGGCGAACAACCAGAACTTTGTGAACGCAAAGAAGAAGAAGAAAAAGATCGGATAAATGATGCTAGACATTTATTTTTATAGACAGACAACATACGTGCGTGTGATATGGTTAACCTTACGTGGCCACCTTTACTTCACAGAACATTACCTGGGATCCGTTTTAGGCTGGGTTAACCTAGAAACCAGTGTCAGTTAAAAAGAAATGTGGGGGGGGGGGGGAGAAAGGGGGGGGGGGGGGGGGGGGGGGGTAATACAGATATTCAAACTAAAGACTTTTGGTTTGGTGGTTGGGCATCTAGCAACTACACTACTGTGCCCCCCCCCCCCCACCCCCAAATGTAGTTTAATTGTAGTATAATAAGGGCAGTAAAAAGTTTTCAAGAAGACAGTGGTTATAAAACAGCAGTTCTCAGCCTGCCAGTCGTGATCCTTTTTGGGTCGAACAACCCTTTCACAGGGGTCGCCTAAGACCATCGGAAAACACATATTACTTTCAGTTGTGAAGGAAAATAATTGTTTAGGAGGTCGCCACAACATGAAGAAACTGCATTAAAGGCTCGCGGCATTAGAAAGGGTGAGAGCCACTGTTATAAAGCTGCCATCTCATGGTTGTGTTTTCTTTTTGTCTCTAGGTATGCTAGAGTCTTGGTCACTTGTATTCCATGGAACCAAAGAGCAGCCAGTCAGGCTGAAGAACCAGACCACAGCTACCTCAACACCACCACCTTCAAAGCCCATCACAGTTAGACCTCCATTTTTGGAAACAACAATCAGTTCACAGGTGAGACCCACTCATAAATTACTGTATTTTTCTGTGTGTAAGACACACTCATTTATAAGACAGTCCCTAGTTTTTTAGCCCAAAATTAATTTTAAAACTTTTTTCATATGAAAGACGATCTCCCTTCCCCAGTTTTAAACTTGAAAAAATTGAGATACATTTATTTTAGACACGGAAAATACGCTAATCCACTGGTTTGTATATCTGTTCCTCCAACTGTTTGTTATCATGAGATTTGTTTCGTAACTGATAACTGCTGACTAGCCTATTGCATTCTAGGTTATACAATCTGTCATTTAAAAAAAAAAACTAAACATTTAAAGTAAAAGTGGGAACCACTGTTGTTGCATAGTGGCTAGATGCTTGCCTTGTGCCCTGAAGGTCTTAGGTTTGAATCCACACGAGGGCGGAAATTTTTCAAAGTTGTCTCTGGCTCCTAGGTCGACTCAGTGTTGCGTGCACATCTGTTCAGTCTGAATATTGTGCTCTCGGTACATGTTATAGATTTCTGTTGCTGTCATGCTTTTGTTAAAACCTTGTTGGAAGGCAGGAAATGTTTGGCTTCTCTGAACCATTTTGCCCTGGGAAGACGCAAACCCAGCACTTTGGAGAATATATTCCATTTAATGCTTCATCGTGTTTATGCATTACTCCCTTTATATATTTTTATATATTTTGTTCAAAAATGAAAATTAAAATAACATACATCAACACATAAAAAAAAAAAATTGGTGTGACCTGTGTAAACTGATTGTTCTTTTGTAAGGATGATTTGTGTGGAAATTGCCACCAATTCATGACCCATTTTTTTTGTTCACCGGGACTACGAGTTTGACAGTGGGTTCCGGGGCCCTATTGTGGGGAAAACAAGAATAGACCCACTGCCTCCCCAAAAGCATGTCGTAAGAGTCGACTAACTGGGGAGCTTCCTTTGAAGTCAGAGTGCATCTGCCTGAGAGGCAAGGAACCAGCAGTCTGCATTCAATTGAATCAGATCTGTAAAACTGATGCACATGCAACACTCAGGTTCTGGAGCATGACTGCAGTCCAGAAGTGGACGAACAACCAGAACTTTACGCCAGAGTGTACAGCTGGTGAACACAAAGAAGAAGAAGAAGTTAAGTACCATCCATAAGGCTGGTCTGTGTGGACTTGAAATAAATTATGAACTTATAGATGTCTAAACATTATTTTTTTTATTTTTTTATTTCTTGTCATGAAATAACTTAATTTTCTTTCATTTATTTGAAATAGATTATTTGTAGGAAATATCATCATTTGTAGTAAATATTAACAGTATGGTGCTTTTTTTTTTAAAAAATTCTCATTTGTGGTTCATTGTTTTCATTGTTTTTTCCTAGATCAGATGGTTTGTTGTAAATGATATTCAGACCAGTCTTGACGTATACGTTCTGCTGTTTGGGGCATTGAACCATGTTACCACAGTGAAGTATCTAGTATCTGCTCTCATTCCAGGAATTTACGATAGCAAAGTGGCTATCCTTGGACCCATCAAAGATGCAAACAGCGGGGAATGGAGAGTGAGAAGCAATAATGAAATTCATAATCTGTTTAAATCACCATTGATCACTGGCATCTTGAGAGCTAATAGACTGAAATGGTTAGGGCATATTGAAAGAATGTCAGATGACAGAGAAGTAAAAACTGTATACACAAGGGAGATAAATGGTTGTAGACCACAAGGGAGACCTAGAAGAAGATGGAGAGATAATGTCCAGACAGACCTGCAAACACTTGGTGTCACCAACTGGAAAGACAAGGCCAACCAGAGAGATGAATGGAGGCAGGTGATATCTGCAGCAGTGAACCTCAAGGGCTCGGAATGCTGAAGAAGAAGAAGAAAGTGGCTAAAAAACGCTAAGTTGCCAGCTGAAAAGTTTAAGTTTCAGTCTACGTTGAGGCAGATTTTTTTTTTCAGAATTGACCTTGGCTCCCAGGTCGACCCAGCCTAAAATAGTACCCTCTAATGTCTTGGGAAGTAAAGGTGGCCACCGGGATGTTGCCCGAATCACCCACTGAATGTTGCCCGAATCACCCACTGAATGCTGATTGGTCTATACAAATATGAATTTAGCATAGTTTGCCTAATGCACAAATGGTTTTAAAAGGGTTCTTTAGGTTTTTTCTTACTTTGTTCTTATTTTAACTGAATATAGCTAGTTAGTCACTTTGAAGCTGAATTCATTATTAATTTGGTTTTAGTTGATAATTTTCTGTTTTCTCCTTTATCAGCTGTGTCACAGTGAATGTGCTGGAAATTGCACAGGAGCAACCCCAAAGGACTGCTTGGAATGCAAACATTTTCGTATTGGACCAACAAAGTAAGTAGATAACATATGTTTACACACACATGCACACCTGTTCCCACATGTATTCACACTTGTGTATACATGCGCACGCATGTGCCCACACACACGCATGCATAAACATGCACGCATGCGCGCTTCTTCCCTCGCTCACTTACTCCTTCGCTCACTCACTCAATGACTCGCTCACTCACTCAATGTCTCTCTCTCTCTCTCACTCTCGCGCGCGCTCTCTCTCTCTCCCTCTCTTGCGCGCTCTCTCTCTCTCTCCCTCCCTCTCTCTCCCTCCCTCCCTCCCTCCCTCCCTCTCTCTCTCTCTCTCTCTCTCTCTCATTTATCTATCTATCTAAACACACATATGCACACATAAACATCACATAACCTTGCATTAACACTACGCTCGTTGCACACATAACTGTGATGTTTTGATTAGATGACTAATCTGCTGCTAATCTGTCTGACCATGTAATCATTGCATGTTCTAATTCACTTTTGATGTTTGACAGCATTTACCACATTTCAGCACTTGCAAAATTTCACCTTCATATACACAAGTGGAGAGCTACATTGGTATAACTTATCAACTATTTATGTAATACTTCTTGTGAAGCTGATATATTCTTAATCTTTTCACCACTTCTTTTTAAAAAAAATTTTAAAATTTGTTTATTTTAAATAATATAATGTATATTGAATTTTGAATTAAGAATCGACATGACAGCACTCAGAACACCCCCATAAGTGCTCCTTCCCCATCTTCAGCAGCAGGTGAAGAGTTCCACTTCCGCCGATGGCACCAGAAACTGTCTGATTGTATTTCTGTCTCCCCCTTCCCTGAAGTGTTAAGCTGTGACCAGATGCCCTAGTAACTCTCTGCAGTGCCATTCTCCTTGTAATGGTCTATTTGTGCACACCAGCTCCTAAAGGGCCCTCATCATCTAACTTATCATACATCAATTCACCAAGTGGTGCAGAAACGACCAGTCTATCTGCCTGCTCATTTCTCAACACACCGGCATGATCTGGAGAAAATATCCAAAAGACGCTAACTACCTGTGGTCTGAAGCGATGCTTGTCATTCTGCATGAAGCATGCCTGTCTCCAGCTTTCTCAGCATGCTCTCACAGCATGTGTGTACAGTTGATACTCAAGCCAGCAGAAGGCAGCAGTGACTGCCTCATCACCTGGGTGGGAATTGTCATGAATCATTTGATAAACATCTGACCAGCTGGCCAGTCCCTGCATTCACAACCTAAAGTGATTAGAACCCTACACAAGTCTGAAACTTGCTCTGACACTTTGACCCACTCCTCTCCTAGCCCATATTTATGAAGCCTGCACACATGTCTAATTGTGTCTTCAGCTTGCGCCATCCAAGACCTTCCTCTTTACCAGTCTGTGACCCTTAACTCTACCCTGGGCTTCATGCAGGAAGTTCTTCTTGTCTGCAGCTACTCTGAGATATGACTTTGCTTGCAGAACTTTGAGCCTTTTTTTGCAGTAGAAGGCAGTGCAAGTATATATCGCATAAATAATAATTTAATATAATTTAATTTAAGGAGTTAAATATACATAAAGCCAACTGCAGTGAATTATCACCTGTATCAAACACCTACAGTTTCAGTGAAGGTAAAGCAACAAATAATAAAACAGTATTTTTCTTGCAACACTTTGATTATCAGTGTGAAGCATGGACACTGTCAATGTAAAAACAAAATCATAACATGATAGATGCTGTAAAGTTACTTGTTGCTAATTCCCCCGCCTCATGTATTTTCATCACCAACGTGTCAGAAATATTCTCTGTCCATCTTCATGTTGGTTGACAACCATGCCATTCAGTATAGCTGAAGCATTTCTGCTTCTGAAACATGACACTGTTTGAACCAGTTATCTTGATGTTCAGAGCCTGCAGAATGTCAGTATCATTCTTAATATTGATATTAGAATTCTAAAAATGTTTATGAAACATTTGATTTCTTCTTCTTCATGTTCACTGGCTGTAAACTCTTGTTAGAAAGTTCTTTTTGCTTGTCCACTTCTGGACTCTAGTCATGTTCCAGAACCTGAGTCATGGGTGCACATCTGTTTTACAGCTGTGACTAATTTGTATGCAGACTGTTTGTTCCTTGCTTCTTAGGCAGATGCACTCCAACTTTAAAAGATGCTTCCAGCTAGTCGACTCTTGCGATATGACTCTGGAGAGGCAGTGGGTCTATTCTTGTTTTCCCTAGAATCCACACGGAGAATTCAAGTTCAGAACTATTACTTTCTTTAGGGATTGATAGGAAAAGAGCAAGAGAAAGAAGAAGAGATGAATGCCTGAATGGTATACCCATATGGCTTGTGCCGGACAAATACATGTTCTGAACCATAAGTCTGCGGCGTTCATAATTCCAATGTACCGCGATCGAAACCCACTGCTGGCTGAGTGGATTTTTATCAAGGTATGGGGTGTCGCAGGGTGATCAAGCCTAAAAAGAGTACCAGGATGACTGTCCTGGGTTAGTAAAGACGGCTGGCCTAATGCTGACCACATTACCCATCTAGTGCCAATGGTCTGTAAAATTATGGGCGCTCTTCCCATATTCCCTATGCACCTACGGCATGGAAATGGATCTTTACTTACTTTTACTGAACCATGATTCTGGTGATTATTCAATATGATAATGATGATGATGATGATGATGATGATGATGATGATAGACAGGATTTCTCTATTTAATAATTTTGAAATAATTAAAAGTACAGCAAAGGGTCCCTCTGATGCCAGGCATACAAGGCTAGACTCATTTTCATATTCTGATCGGCACTCTGTGAGTGATTTACTTCCCAGAACATTAATGATACCTACCTATTTTAGACTGGGAGCTAGTCAAATTTAAAAAAAAAAAAAAATAGAAAATCTACTTTGATGTGGATGTGAACCAAGGATCTTTTTACTGTCAGTGTCTAACCACAACGCTATATCAGTTCCTTGTTTTATAATGTGGCAGAAATATAATCTAATGAAATACTGTGTTCCACAGAACATGTGTCGCAACTTGCCCTAGTGGATTCTACGCAGACAACAAGATGTGTCTACCCTGTGAGATGAGCTGTGCCACCTGCAGCGGCCCAATGCTGACACAGTGTCTCAGCTGCCCACTAGGTCACCTGTTTCAACAGTTGAACAGAAACCAGCAGATCTGTTCAGTTGAGTGCCTGTCAGGGTATTTTATAAGTAAGCCATCATACCAATATTTCAACTTGCTTGACTGTTATGATGCCTTCATGGTCTTCAGTTCCTTTGCAGAATTTGCTCATGCTAATCTTGCTTATGAAGACCATCTTTGTGTCATGTGCTGTTTGTATGAACACGTCCGCCTAGACCAGATGCATATTTCATTAACCTAATTTTTTTCATACTCGCCAAATTAATGTGCAGCAAAGCCATCATGCACAGCATTCATAATCTCTAACATTTTTATTTTTTAATTTTTTTAAAAACAAATATTAAGTCTCTTCACTTCAGCATGTGTGATTTGTATTGAACTAAAATGTTGTGACTGTTTCTGACTGTAATATTTGTCACTCTAACCATAACATTTGTGACCCTTTCTGACAATAACATTTGTGACTAGCTTCAGAGTGTAACATTGATCTTTCTGGCACTTCACAAATAAAATTACTCACCTTGATTTTTAAATGTTTAAAGTTGCTGTCTAGCTTCAGTCCAGAGAATTTATGTATCTAATCTGTTTACAATTCAGAGAGTTCAGTGAAGTTATACAGAACATACAGCACCTATTCAACTCCCTAGCGTACAGTCTCTCTGCCATTCTCTGTATATGCCCCAGCCATTTCAGTCTATTGGCCGTCTTGATGTCAGAGATCAATAGAACTTTTTAAGGATGGCATTTTTTCTGGAGTTCAGACAAAATGTATTTTGAACTGAACTTTCTTTACTGCAACATAACAGCTAAAACTTTCCTGAAGGAAAAGTATTGGCTGTATAGTTTCATAGAATATATCAAATTAAAGATAACTGAACACATAATACATCTAAACTATTTAAGGATCTGTATTGCAACCACAAATTATCATAATGACACCACATTCAAGGATGTTAGACATACGTGAAGATTTTTTACACATGAAGTTTTGTTACTACCTTACCTTTTTTAATTTATTGATCAGCAACATTGCTTTCCATTTCAAAGAATGTGCATGCCTTCTCTAATCATTTATGCACCTGCTGGTCTTTATTTGAGATAGTTCTAAATACGTCGGACTCTATTACCATTTTTGTGTGACGTGTAAAATTTCACAACAACCAAATTCTAGACAAAGTATATCCACCCTGTAGTCTAAGCAAAAGAGTGACCACTTTTAAATTGCTGCAAAATGACCAGTGATGATGATTGTAGTTTATACACTTCAAAAGCTGCTTAATGTTTTTAAAAGTTTCTTTCATGTGAACTGCATGACCAACTAGAATTGATGGTAATTCAACAAAACAGCTTTAAGACTCATCTTGGATGAATCACTGAAGAGTCTCCACACTTCCAAGTTGTAATTAATTTTTTAGGGCTGCCATTAGCCCAGATATGTTGTGGAATGCAGAGAGGACACTTCCTTTAAAAAAAAATATATATTTATTAAACGGCTTCTGCTGGTCCCTATACATAGAAATTCTAACATCTTCTGCCAGAACATTCCACTATTGCAGTTTGAAACTCAAAATCTCTGCTTTATTCTTCAGTAAATTTAGATCTCTTAACGAGATCATTCAGTTTTTGAGACTGGATTTAGTTTGCTCAAAATCTGGTTTGCCTGACGATAATGGTTCAGGGCCAGTGTCCTTTTCTTCATCAGTGGAAGGAGTTGGAAATAATTCTGGCACCTTGGATACTGGTAGGTCATCGCCATGTAGTACTAGATGTATTGCAGAAATGATGTTAGGATGCTCCAGTCATTTTCTTTTTCTTTAATATGCCTTTCCCAATTGGAGGGACCATACTAAATAAAGTAACAGCTGTTGAGATGATCAGAGGGCTCTCTCCAAATCATTGAGACAGCAAAAGACATTGAGAGAAATGTCACCTCACTACATACATAACAGAAATACATTATTAGTGCTATTCACACATGACCAAGGCATTTTTAAACATGACAGTATTATTAAAGACAAACAAACTAGCTAATAATGGCAAAATTGTGTCAGAGATAACATATTTATGCACATAGAGGATGTAATCATAGGTAGGACTGTATCGTCAACTTCTGGTTACAGTTTTATAAGTCATTAGAAAAAATATTATGCAATCGGCCACAACAGTTGTGTAATATATGTAATTTAGCCCTGATTAAGGAAACTAGTAGCGTATTTCTCAAAAACTAGAGCCAGTCAACATTTTTTTAAAGTCATTTTTGTTTTCAGTACACCAAAATTAATTAAGATCAGCTTTTTTGATTTCTGGTACGTTTTAGTTGTTGACTAGTGTAATTTTGTAGTCCATATTTTTTTTGCGTGGTCACCTTCTGGGTGTGTTACCATTCAGTCAGTCAGTCAGTAGCATGTTCTTTGCAGAACATTGAACCCATAACAACTCTCCGAAAAACTTCTCAATCAAAAGCAAGATGTCCCGTGTCCGATACACGCATCTGGAGATCATCTTCCACATTCCGCACCCATCTTTGGCCTTCCTCTTCCTCTCTTCCCAGGCATATATCCTCCATTTTTGTTCTCTCTAAACTTTTGTGATGTTTTAAGTTACCAAATTTTTTTTTTTCTATGTTTTATCGTCTTTAATAGCCAACCATCTTCAGTATTCAGTTCTTGAAGTATGGATGCATTTGTTTTACCTTTCTATCTGTACAACATTGCTTTCTATGGTGCCATCGTGATCCAGTCTTATTGCCTAGCCAAACCATTTGAGCTGTTTTCCAAGACTCTCCTACTGAAATCATCATTCCTAAGTCGATCTTTTCTTGTTACACCTAGCATAGTACATCAAAATTTTGTTACTGTCATGACTGTTTTCCTTCTGTTTTCTTAAGACAGTGTCCATGTTTGACATTGATAGAATAGCGCTGGTAAAAATATTGTGTTGAACAGAGCTCTTTTAGTGTTCATTTTCACAGTCATGCATTTCAAAATTGGTGCCATTTGGCCTGTAACTTGATTGGCTTGCATGTTTGTTAGATTTCTTTATTGATTCTTCCATCTTGTGAAAAAGTTCTCCCAAGATATGTAAAGTACTTCGCATGCTGAAAACTGATGTTCATCAGCTTTGATATTGGATTCTTCCTTTTCTGGAGAATGTCATTACTTCTGTTTTATCTGTGTTGATCTTAATTTCAAAGTCATAACATGATGAGTGCAGTCTGTTAATGTGTTCTTAGAGTTGTGCTGCACGTGGTGCTATGATTGCTTGATCATCAGCAAAAAGCAGTTCATATAGTAATTCTCCAGTGTTGTCCTCTTCCAAGGGGTTAACTGATTTGCAAATTTGGTGGACACATAGGACAGCCACTAAAAGGATTTATCTCCATACGAGGTCAGATGGCAGTCTTTTCAATCTGTCCAGGTTTCTGGCAGGGACTAAGGTGCAGACAAGCTGCCTCAGGGACTTTCTTTTTGCGGATGATGCAGCCGTTACTGCACATACAGAAAAGGATCTGCAGAATTGAATGAATTTGCTTTGCGAATGCATGCATAGAGTTTGGACACAGGATCAACCCCAACAAAACACAAGTGACAGGGATGAACGTGGTAAACCCACCAAGCAGTAGCAGTTATGACCATGAGCTGTTGATTATACCTTGTCTCTCAAATCTCAGACGATCTCTCCCTAGATGTAGAACTAAACAGACAGATAGGAAAGGCTTCTGTGATGATTTCCAGATTCACAAAGAGAATCGTGTAGAAAGAAAATCTTACAGATAGGACCAAGTTTTTAAAGCTTTTGTTCTGAGTATGATCTTACACTAAAGTGAAACCTGGACTGCATATGCTTCTAAAGAAAAAGGACTGAATACCTTCCACATGAGCTGTATGAGACACATTGCTGTATGAGACACATTCTAGATATATCCTGACAAGACTTTGTCCCCATCAAATATGTTCTCAGAAAAGCAGGAATGGCAACAGTGTACTCTCTGCTGAAGCAAAGACACCTGCATTAGTTGGACATGTTTCCTACATGGAGAATAGTTGCATTCCAGAGGATCTCCTTATGGTGAACTGGAAACAAGGAAAAGATCTGCAGGAAGGCTAAAGCTACGCTATAAGGTGTCGCGAGTCCCCAAGTGGTTGGATGCTTTTGTGATGAGTAGGAATTTTCATCTCAACACTTCACCTCCACAGGAGAAACTGGACTTACTAATATCCGAGCTATGTTGATCTTAGACAAAATCCTGGATATGTAAGAAAACAGCCATATTTGGCTCGCCATGTAAATTCACAACATCTGCACTTGGTCAGTTGTCAGTCAATTCTGACTGCCCATCTCTAATCAAACATTCTTAAGTAGGCAAATCTGGTTTTTCCCACTGTCACTGGAAAAGTGTGAAAAAACAGCCAGCTGTGGAGACGCAATGGCTGAACTTTCTTGCTGGCCAGACTTATGTCCCTTGAGTTATGAGTTAGATTATCTTCACTCTGGACACATCCATAGGCGCTCAGATTGCCTTCTCAACATTTTCATTAGTATCCCACGGTTAATAGTGCCAGTCCTATGTTGGTTAACAAGACTTCATGTGCGCCTGGTGTGTTTCTCATGCTTGGCTGTGGCGACCTTAATTCCCAATTCTTAGCTGTGATGTGGACACGTTGCTTCCAAAATCCTCAAAACGTCCTATCTCTCTAAGGGCAGGGACACTGTCTGTGTGATCCATGGGCCAGCCATCTTCAATTTATGCAGCACCTGCCAGTCTATCAACTCTTTCATTACCAACAATGCCTGCATATCCTGGGACGAATATGAAGGTAACCACACACAGTAGAGTTTTGCAATGACTCAAACCACTGTCTGTGTAACCAGCCTGCCTCGACCCGCCAGATCATGCTCAAAGAATCACTCAGCACACACACACGTGTGAATAGTCCTGTGATTCTTGCCACATGAAAGCTTAAGTCACTGCCATCATCTCCATCGTCATGCTTCTGGTAATCATGGAGAAGGCACCACTGGCTTCTTGAACTGTTCTGCCTGAAGAGCAAGCTGTAAATGCCCATGC